ACCAACTCAGTGAAACACAACAAAATACATCAAAATCCCACGATGCTGCAAACACACAGAAAATAAGTCAGAAAGCAAAATCAATCAAAACTGCTGTGAAAAGCATTATATCTCCGCCATCGAGCACCATGCCGAGTGGTAAGGTCGCAATGTGAAAGGCGATTCACATTGTTAATATTGTTGTAACAGTGTTATGAAAGCAGCATTGAGCGATTTGTAGGGGAACATCAATAGATGTGCGCTGTGTTGTTAAAGCGTTCTGTCGTCAAAGAATGAAAATCGTTAGCTGTTGCTGCAGGACGCTGTTGATGCAGGACGCTGTTGATGTTTGTGCTTGATTTTCGAGACAATATTACTTTTACTTGAACACAGCGACATTCATCTGAATATGTTTCCCGTTTTTCTTCAAAGATGCCTGATCATTTTGACCAGACGGTGGTTCTGAACCAGCTCAGGTATTCCGGCATGTTGGAAACAGTCAAGATTCGACGCACCGGCTTCCCTGTCCGGAGAACTATTCAGGACTTCTGCTCGAGGTTTGTACCCACTGCGCTGTGCAATCACACATAAGCCCGCACTGCTCTACCAAAAATGTCAGACCCCAAAACAGGCGCAGGGTCATCAACAAAGCAATCATTAAAAATCCTGCAAAAACCCTTGACCCCTGCTTTTACTTCTTCAGGTACAAGGTGCTGATGCGTGGTTTGTTGAATTCAGAAGACCCCAGAGGGTGCTGCGTCCAGCTGCTCTGCCAATATGACAGCAGCAGTGCAGAGTGGCAGCTGGGCAAGACCAAGGTGAGCAACACATTGCATTTGCTGTTGTGCTCATTAGTGCAGAACATCCAGAAAGAGTGTAAGCCAGGTTTTTCCCTGTTGCCACACTTTATAGCCGGTCTCTCCTGCACACGGAGTGGAGCAGGCAGCAGTTAGTTACGCTGGTATAGGAAAGCACTTTAAACTCAGGACTGCACTTATTCAGGGTCCTGGTGGATTGGGTAAACAGTGATTCATGAAGAAGAACAGATTTCTCACATTTTCAGGAATATAAGGTTAAGTCATCGTTGTTTCTTTTCTTCTTAAACTCCTGATAATTTCGTCTCATTTGAGATCTCTGCATTTGTGTGGATCATTAAATAGAAGTCTTGGGCCTTTGGCTCAAGAATTGATCCAGGTCCAGATTCAGTCCAGGTTATATTGTTGTCCAATAAGGTCCTTTTGAACATATAAGTCTTGCTGTTTATTGGTTTAGTTTAAACTTGGTCTTAAAAGATGAAACGATACCGTTCCAAACATCTTTTATGTTTAAGGCTCTCCAATACAATTATATTTTATACAATAACTCAGTCTTTACTTACAGGTTTGCATTCCCTCTCTGTCAGCAGTGAATTATTTGC